GAAATGTAGCACCCTGTGCTACTTGGTTGTGTCCACGCTAACTCTTTTCACAGGGTGCAGGGTTCCCACAATGATAAATATTTCTTTTGCATTCCATTATTCAACAGTTTTTTATGAGGCATTTCCGAACGTGCTTATTTGCAATTCTTCCATGCTTACTTGTAGACTTTTTAAAAAAAATTTTTAGAGTAAATTTTAGGATATTAAAAGCCTCATCGATTCGCCTACAGTTAGCGAGTGGCGAAACGAACGAACTCAATGGGGTACAACCAAACTCGCTATCGTCCATCCTTATTAGCTTAAGTTGTTGTTTCTTTCTCAAGCAAAATGTTTCGTAAAGCGACCGGAACTCAAACATACCTAGCAGAGAAGTGACGAATCGATGACGGTTATTATTTATTTGAATAAGATGAAAAAAACGGAAACGTTGTTCCTTTATCAAATGAACCACCCTGTGCTTGTGGGGCCTATTTCAACCATATTTGTGGTGAATCGATTGCAGCATTGTTGCACATAATTTAAATGTTGCGGAAACATTTTCTCACCGCTAAACAATGAAACAAGTTTATGCTTTTTAAAACAAGGGAGCTTTATTTTAAAGTATACAAACCAATGTAAAAGAAATTTCTGCATATAACCCATAGCAAGCTTGGCTTGAATTTCCAATTGGCTGTTTTGAAAATCCAAACACTACTTACAAACAGATTTGCATCTACAAAGTTAAAGACTTATTATAAACAAATGTATATACATACATAAATGTCAAATAAACTTTAATATTATAAACGGATTTAAAGTTAAACTTGTTGAAATAATTAACTCTTTTCAATACCTAAATACATATTTCAAAACGTTTCCAATACTGAAAAAAACGTTTTGATGCGGTGTCTTTGTACTTTATAGAACCTAAACATAATTAATAAATTAGACTCAATGAAACTAATACATAATTATTATATTTAAGTAGTGGCATTAGTCAAAAATTTTCATGGCTGTGGAAAAATTTTTGAC